ATGAATTGCCGGCTTTCGGTCGTGGGGCGGAATGTTTTGAGGTCCCGATTTGTTGTTTTCCGGGGAAGGGCGCCATGAACATTCGGCTGGCCCGGGGAACCTGCGAGGCTTCCTGGAAGAGAAGTCTCCTAAGAGGTTCCACTGGTACACATGTTCAGTCCTTTTCAGTGCCACCTTTTGGCCCTTTGGGCATGGTGTTTAGGACTGGCAGGCTTGGGTGCACATGTTTTCGCGGAAGCCGCGCATGCAACCGCTCACTTCAAGGCAGCGCCTCTTTGGCTCAAGGCTTCAACCTCCCTGACCTTGCTGGCCTCTCTCTTGCAGAACTTGCCGAAGAGTTGCCAGCTCCGGTTGACGAGCACATCCTGGTTAGCTTGCGCAAGCAGGCCTGGCGCTCGGTGCAGAGGCTACCGCTACGCCTTCCTGCTTGCGCCTTGCTTCCCCCAGGTCGCAAGTCCCCGCAGCCAACCGCGTGCAATCCAGCTCCCTTAGCCCTAGCTCCAGCTGCGCCTCCGCGCATGGCACCTCGCCCTGTCTACAAGCACTCGTCCGTCGCAGCTGCCCTGGTTGACGCCGTGTTGCAGGATGAGTTCACTGCGCTGTTTCCCGCCATGATGGCTAGCGGCTGCCCAGCCCAGTGGAAAGCAAATCTGGCAGATTCACTGCTGGCACGCTTCCAGCCTGGCACCATCGCAGCTGCCCTGCGCACATGGTACCGGCTTGCGCAATGGCACCTGGATCGCGCAGCTCCAGCCGGCTTGCTTCACGAGGTCACACTCCGCCAGTTCCTCATAGCCCAGCAAGCGCGTGGGCACACCGTTCCCGCGGCCATCTTCCACCACTTCAAGTGGCTTCATGACGAGCTCGGTGTGAAGTTCCCGTTATCTGGGGCCACACTTCGTGAATTCCGTGTTGCTCGAAACAACACGTTGCCACAGCAAGCCCGCGTCTTGACCCCTGAGGTATGGAAGCACTTGGTGGACATGGCGCTTCGGTCCAGTAATGGTGACCAACTTCAGCCTCTGCAACTTGCGGCGGGCATTGTCGTGCGCTTTGTGGTCTCAGGTCTTCGGTTCAAACATACCAAAACAGCGCTGTTTGATGCAGCCTTGTCTTCCGCCAGAACACACGCGTGGCGAGTTCCTGAAGGGAAGGATGGGCACCCTTTTGCCTTTTCTCTTCCAACTTTTCTTGTCCCCGAAGTCCCTTTGTTCAGTCAGGTGCAGGCAGCCTTACATGGCACACTTGGTGTCAACGCGCCTTTTGTACCAGACATGTACTTTGGCACTGGGGGCTTGCCCGTGTTCGAAAATAGGGCTTTCTCGTACAGCCGATTTCAAGATTTCTTTCGCTCTCTGCTGCGCCTGCCGCCTTTAGGGCTTTCCCAAGAACAGGCCTGCTCCTTCTCAACCCGAAGCATGCGTCGATTTCTCCCGTCCATTGCAGACTCGCTGCAATTGGCGGACTCGGATCGATTATGTTTAGGAAACTGGAGTGATGGCCGGAAACTGCCCATGCCGGTGCGGTACAGTTCGGAAAGGTTGGAATCCGCAGCTCAAGCGCGAAGACTGTGCCTGGCTGCCCTCCATCATTTGTTTAAACATATTCCCCAGCCAGGATCCTGGCTCCGAATTCGGGCTGTGGCTCAACATTTGAACGTGTTAAAGCGATTGACGGCTTCCAAATTGTGGGGCCAGGGCACTGAAGAATTGCCCCCACCCATTGTCCCCTCAAGCCCGGAAGGTGTTCCCACCGATCGGCCGTCCTCGGATGAGGAATCCTCCTCGGGAACGTCTTCGAGCCATTCCTCCATTAAGCGATCGCCAGTCTCATCTATTGTTTGGCCTGAATCTGCGGAACAATTGCATTTTGTGCGACCTGCTCAAGGCATGTGGCATGTCACAGAGGAACAGCAAAGCTTCCTAGGAGTTTGCACTTCTCGTGTTTTTAAGCAGGCGGGATCAGTTTGGGCCAATGGTCTCACAGCAGCCCTTCAGACCCACGGGCGTTTCTGTGCTCCATGCCTTCTGCGTTTGCCGCCTGGACTGAGGGTAGATGTTCAGTCGCAATCCACGCGCTGAAGCCCGCTTCAAGGCTCAAAAGAGCTTCGCTTGCCATGACTCACGGCTGCCATGCTGAATTTGAGATTCGCGGGTGTGTTGCGTCATTGTGTCACATGCGCTTTCCCATTTCGGCGCTGCAGCTGCAGCTCTTTCCTTTTCCTCCAACAGCATTAGGTCTTCACAGCGGCGCGCCCCATGGCTGCCGCAGAGGGCTTCGAAGAGTTCCTGGTTGGGCAGCACAAGGTTGCCCCCGAAGTTCTTCAGCAGCTACGAGCTGAAGGAGTTGAAAGCCTGAGTGACTTCGTCGGTCTCTTCACTGAAGCCGACTATGAGCAAGCCTTGAAGGATGAAGTCTTGTCCAAGGTTGAGAGCCACAGGGACTCCAAGATCCAGCTGGCTCGTCTTCGGGTGGCCTGGATGCGGGCGCGCCAGGAGGTTCAGAACGCAGCTCCTGCTAGTAGCTTGCCAGACAGCTCTGCAGACTTGGAGGCACCTCTTCCGGCGGAAGTGCGACAGCGACAGGAAGATGCGTTTCACTCAAGATACAACCTGCGATTTCCTCCTGAGCTGACCCCCGCGCCAACTCTCTTTGCTCGTCACTTTCGAGAGTTTCGCAGACAAAAGAAAGAGTTGGATGACCTTTCTCGTGTCCGCTCCGCTGCGGAAATTTCCTCGGTTGCCCCAACGGAAGTCAAGCAACTTGGGGACTTCCAGGTGGTACTCCGAGCACCCCAGGAACCAGTCACTTTCAAGGACCTTGTCAGCTCGTGAGCTTTTGCTCAATTCATGGGCGTTGGCAGGCACTGCTGAGAGGGACTCCAAGCTGAAGCCTGGGCAGAAGACCGTCGAATTCGACATGACTGCCAACCTTGCCTACCGCTCCTTTGCAATCGAGCGGGTTCGCAAGTTTCGCGGGACCCTTGGCCAAACCATTTCTTGGTTTCTGGACCGTGATCGGGAAACGCAGAAGGTTGCCCTCTCCCTCTACGCAGAAGGCTACCCTTGGGGTGAGGCCATGCAGCAGACCTATGAGAATCGCACGGCAGTCTTGTGGCAGATTGGCCCCGTGGGAATCGTGGACGACTCCCTGTCCGCCCCACCCGCTTTGCCCGACAAGCCCGCTGCCAAGAAGCGCAAGGATGACACCCTGCCTGACACCCAGAAGCGTCCGCGCCCAGACCGTTCTACGGGGCAGCAAGTGGACACCAGCACCGGCAAATCAATCCAGCTCAAGGACTTGTGTCCTGACTGGAACCGCGGCCAGTGCACTCGTCGCCAAGCCGACTGCAAGCACGGAAAGCTTCATCGCTGCAGCCATCCTTGTGAGTCTGGATTCTGCGGCGCTTGGCAACACACGGCAGCCCAGCATAAAGCCAAAAAGTCGGGTTAGGGACAGCTCCCCCCCTCCAATGTGGCGCTTGGAGGGGGGGTGGCGCTGGCCCCCCCGCCGCTTCCAGTTGACCATCGCAGCGCAGATGCCCCCACCAGCAGCAACGCGTTGCCCAATCCTTCTTGCGCTCCTTGCAAGCCAACCCCCCAGCAGCCCCAGCCACGCAACACGCCTGCCAGTTCCGTGTGGTCCGGGGTGCAATGGCTGTGTGACGGCATGGGAGGCGCCTTGCCTGCCTTGTCTCGCTTGGGCTGCCCTGCCTACACGGCTTTTGTCAGTGAAGCCAGGCCTGACCTCCGGGCAATTTCAACCAAGCATTCTCCAGGAGCTTTTTATGTTGAAAGCCACGACCAATTTGACACAGCAACCATTGTCAGCGTGGTCCCAGCCTTTTCAGCTGCGCTCCTTGTGTCCGCGCCGCTCGGGCAACACTCGATGTGGGACTCCATTGAAGAGCTTTGCAAAGCTCAGGGACGCCCTGGCATCTGCCTGCCAAGAGTCTGACATTCCCTTCCGCTTCTTGGTGGAAACCTCCGCTTCTATTTCAACCGAAGACAGAAGCAAGGTCAGCCACTTCTTGGCGGATGCGGTGCCTTGCTTGTTCCACGCAGCCGATTTTGGTTGGCTGCATCGCCCTTGCTTGGTCTGGGGTTTGCAGGAAGCACTCCGGTCCCAAGCTCCGAGCTCCTGCAGCGATTTTTCCTCCCACCCCCCGAACACGCCCCTGCCTGGCCTGTGGCTTCTTCGCTGGCTTGGTCTACCGGACCCTCCAGACTGGAGCCCACAGGATGCGAGCCTTTGCTGGCGCTACCGCGGTGCCAGTGGCGTGACGGGGACGCCCGTTGCAGGTTGGTCTCCCTCCTATCCGAACGGCAGGTGCTAAGGCTTGAACGCCCCAGAGCTTGACCAAACCTTCACTGAGCGCTCAGGGAATTTGCTCTACCCTGTCAACCAAGACTTCCCATCAATTGGCGTGCCTCTTGGACCTGAAGACCGCGAGGTGCTCTTGGGCTACACCGCCGGCTTCACGCTTTGGACTTGGCGGCTGGAAACGGCCGCCTGTCCGCCTTGGCTCAGGCTGCTCACCTTCCTTCTTTGGCGCTTTGTCTGCGCATCCTCCTAGCCGACATGGCCTTGGAGAAGCCAGGAGGAACTTTGAGAGCCCCGCCCGCCACTCGGCATGTTGAATGCTCCGTAATGTTTGACCAAATTCTTGCGTTGCTCCCGGCAAGCTTTGCTCCTAACCACTTGATTGCAAATTGCAGGGAGCGCTTTCAAAGGGTGTGTCTTGCCCCGTTTTCGCAATTTGAGCATTGGCTTCTCCAGAGGCACTTCTCCGATGAATGCGGCTTCGACTGGCCTTCGCTTCGGTCAAGGGACCCAGCTCGCGCCGTGAGACAGCCTAAATCCGATTTTAAGCCACCCATCCCTACCGATGTGTCTGCAGCGCAGCATGTCACCAGGGCAAAGATTTGCATTTTGCCATTGAGCGCAATGTGGAGCTTCAGCTTGATTTGCAAGCAGAGCGTGACCTGTCATACAACTGT